GGTTGTGGTTTTTAGTATACAAGTCTTTCACATCTTTTGTCAGATATAACCCTAAGTATTTCACATTTTTGATACTATTGCAAATGTTTAAAATTTTTAATTTTCAGGACTAGCAGTTAGCGTAATGGTGATGTCACTGGACTCCCATGTAGTCAACCATGGTTCGAGTCCCAGCCAGGTGGCATAAAACTCACGGCAGGCACATGTGCGTGTGTGCCCAAGATCCTGAGAGGAGAATGGAGGAGAAGGGATTGCGGTGTGGCCTTCCCCCCAGGGAATGATTTCTCGCTTTCTGTCTCTGTCTGGCGAGCACATATGCCCTATAGCAAAAACCTCTCAAAAAATTTTTTTCTAATTTTCAATTGTTCATTGCAAACATGTAGAAATACATTTTATTTTTATATTGTTATTTTATACACTGTAATCACTCTGCATATGTATAAACAACTGATGTTCAAAGATATATAAAGTAATCTTTTCAACAAACAGTGATGGAATAATTAGATGTCCACATTGCAACAAACAGATAAGCAAAACAATTTTTTTTTGGGGGGGGAAGAGGTTTTTGCTATAGGGTGTGTGCACTCACCAGAAAGATAGAGAGAGACAGAGAGATAGAAAGTGAGAAATCACCCCCTCCCCCGGCAGGATGGCCATGCTGCAATCCCTTTTCCTCCATTCTCTTCTCAGGATCTTGGGCATGCTTGTACATGTGTCTGGTGTGAGTTTAAGCCACCGGGTCTGGGCCTCGGACTGCAGTAGGCTACATGGGAGTTCAGCAACATAGCCATTTGGCTAACTGCTGGTGCTGCAAAACAACTTTTAATCCATGTCTCACATTATATATAAACGAACACAAAAGAATCACAGACCCAACTGTAAACCCTAATACTACATAGAAATTTTAGAGGAACACATATAAGAAAACCTTCATGACCTTAGGCTAGGCAAAGATTTCGTAGATATGACAGCAAAATAACAAATTAATATACATTTTTAATTTGTCAGAGACGCATGTATGCTCTCTGGAAAGAGACGGAGAGATGGAGAGAAAGCACCCTCTCCCCCATGGGGAATGGTCGCTCCTCAAGCCCTTCTTCTTTCTCTCTCTCTTTAGCATTTTGGGCACAAAAGCACACACACTGGATGTGTTTCTCAAGCTGCCGGATCCTCGACTCAAACCCTGCAGTTGACCATGCGGGTCCAGGTGCCTTAACTTCTACGCCATGGGCTGGCCCCAAATGAGTAAGTTTAAATTCATCAAAATTAAGAACTTCTGCTCTTCATAAGACACTATTAAGAAAATGAAAAGACAAGCCATAAACTCTGAGAAAATGTTTACAAATCACATATCTGATAAAGGCCTTGTATTCAGAGTATATAAAGAACTCCTCAAATGCAATACTGATACAACTCAATTTTTTTAAATTTTGAAAATTTTTTCAGAGGACATGTGCAGTAAGGAGAGAGAGAGGGAGAGAGAAAGAGAGAGAGGGAGAACCCTCCCACAACCAATAAGGTGCAGGTACACTGCAATCTTTTTCCCTCTTTCCTCCATCCCGTCAGAATTTTAGGTACTCATGCACACATGCCCAGAGTGGTTTTCAAGCTACTGGAACTGGGATTTGAACCCTAGTCAGCCAAATGGGCCTAACTGCTGAGCTAAGGAGCCTGCCAGACAAGTCCATTTTTAAAAGGGCAAAAGATTTAAACAGATGCTCCTCCAAAGAAGATATACATACATATGAAAAGATGCTCAACATCACAAGTTATTTGGAAAATGCAAATTAAAACCACAAGGAGAGAGCACCACATACCTATTAGAATAGGTCAGATTCAAAAGACTCAAATGCCAAGTGATGGCAAGGATGTGGAGGAAATGGAACGTTCCTGTTAGTGGGATATTGAGACATGGCTTGGCACTTTTTAAAAAAAGAATTATTTATGTAATGTTGCTAGTCATTATTATATTTTGATTTTGCTACAGGGCACATGCGCTCATCAGAGAGAGAAAGTGAGAAAGCTAGCCACCAGGTCCAGGACTTGAACTGTGGTCGGCCATGTGGGAGTCTAGTGCCTTAAGCACCACTCCACCTGCTGGCCCTGGTTTGGCACTTTCTTTAAACATAAGCATACCACATGGTCCAGCACTTCACTCCTAGCCATTGTCTGCCCAACAGAAATAAAAGCATATGTCCACACAAAAACCTGTGTGTGAATGTTCACAGCAGCTTTATCCTAGGGCTGGCGCCACCACGCCCGTGTTCACTTTATACTTAATAGCCCCAAACTGGAAACAACCCAAACGCCTAATAACAAGGGAATGGGTAAACAAGGTGTGACAGTGGTCAATGGACTACTACCCAGTAATAGGCAGAAATGACCTACCGAGACAAGTTACAATGTGAATGAATTCTCAACTTGAACTGTGGTCGGCAAAGAAGCCAGACTGTGAGTCAAAGAAGCCAGACCAAAACAGCACACGGTATTATGCCATGTACTCGAACTTCTAGAAAGTGCAACAAATTGGTAGTGACAGGAAACAGATAAGATGTTGCCTGGGAGACAGGGTGGGCTGGAACGTAAGGACTGTGCAGGGCATGGGTGATAGATATGTTCACTCTCTAGATTTTGGCATGGGTTTCATGTTTGTATGCATTTACTTTTAAACGATATTTAAATACAAGCATTATAATGTCAGTTAATTATACCTCAGGAAGGCTGTTTAGAAACCGAACAAAACACCCAAAGACTGGGAGCTCCCTAGTGTCAACAACACCTTGGCGAGGTGAGACCGAGGCTGTGTGCCACCTTAGGGCTGCAGAGACCTTCCTGGGGAGGGCTCTCCCTGGGGCTGTTACAAGGCAGACAGCTGCTGTGTGCTGGACTCTGACTAAAGCTGCATTTCACTTTCCTGTTGTGAAATATAGTTGCCCCAGTCACAGGGCCGTCTCTGGCATCTCTTCAAGGGTCACAGGACACTGGTTAGCCAGCTGGGAGAAACTGACCCAGTTACCAAGATAACTTCCCAGTTTCTCAGAAATGGGGAGGAATACCAGCATCCTAGTCCTAGGAAAATGAAACTTCATGAAACCTTGCAGATCCTAGAGGTTCAGAACAAGCAAGACGGCAACAACTGTGGATGGAAAGGGTGTCGCTAGGTCCTGGGCAGACTGATGGACTGGATGTAAATTATTGGGGCTGTTGACTATCTGAAGAGCCCATGGGTGGCCCTCCTTGGGTCTTTGACCCCCAAATTCTATGCACGTGGTGTTAGAATATGCATTTGCTGCAGAGAGTTAACAGCTTTCATCAGGCCCCCAAGGAATTCCCTGGTTGAAAAAGAGTTAAGAAGCGCTGACAAGAACACAGCCAGACTCACCTCGCTTTTCCTCTCCTTCCTCTAGCTCCCGAGACAAAACTCGAAGAATGAATCCCTCACTCGATCCTCCGGCTGAGATTACAACTTAGTGACCCAAGTTCTCGAATACACCAAAGGACTGCCAGGTTCCTCCCCCTAGCTCTGCCAGCGCGTGCTTCCCGCTGCCCCTACCACCCGCTCCTCTCTGGGCTCCTGCTGGCGTAGGAACTGGGAGTTGTTTCCAGCACCACAGGTATGCAGCCTGCCCTCACATTGCTTCCTCCTAGGGACGCATGCTCTACCCCGACCTTCCAGCTACCCTCTGCCTGAAAAAACGAGAAGGGCCGCTTGCCCCACGTCCCGCCCGGCTCCCTGCCCTGCGGCACGCGTACCAATGTACGGGTGGGCTGGGAGAAGCACGCACGCATTTCTCGAAATTGCTCAACGACACAGCTCCGCCCTTGCTTTGCCACTCTGGGCTCCTCAGAACTGGCTTCCTTCCTTGACCTCCGAAGTCCGAGCCTGTGCACTCCACGTCCTTTGGTGGGTGACCCGAGAGCCGAGAGCCGGCCGGAGCAGGTCGCAGATGGCGACAGTCTTCGCTACCTTCCCTGCGACTCCCCGCACATGTCCCTCCCGCCGGGGGCCGCGCGCCCTTCCCGTCCTGTGCAGGCGCGCACCAAGTCCCTCTGGGGACCGACTCCCGGCTGGGCCCGGGGAGGGAGGGGACGCGCGGTGCTGTCCAGCTCTGCTCCTCGGCCCCCTCCCGCAGCTCCGCCCGGGCGCACCGCGGTCCCTACCCGGCGTCATCGGCGGGCGGGGCGGGCGGCAAGCGGT